TTCACTTGGAGAGTAGTGCCAAGGGACCATCTCTTCCTGTTCAGGTACAAGAACACCCTGCTTGTGTTTCAAAATTGTCAAATTTGCTATTCTTCTCTAATTTCATGTCACCCACTGAGGAAAAAACCACAGCAATGTGCATTCAAAATGCCAGGTTTCTTTAAAACCTGTTTGCATGGAAATCCTATAGATCTTCCTGCCTCTGCCGTTTCCTAATACCATTTATGTAGGATGGCAATATTATCACTCCTGGCATTGTCCCATCCACTGTGCTGCCTGTGAAAACCAGCCTCTGATAAGAAAAAGTTGTTACTGTGTGTGTTTGGTGATCATCACAAATCCAACTGTTTTACAGAATAGGCTGAAGAAAAATGTAAATGATGATTTCTGATTATGTTAAAGTTACTTTTCAGAATTTTACAACATAAAAGAGAAACAATCCATTTTTCAATTATGCTTTCCTTGACAATTTAGGCCACATTCACCTCTTTCCTAGAATGTGATCCTCTTCATTGTTGGCCTCACTCCTGCCTCCCTCACAGCTACCAGCTGGAATTGTTTCTTCAATGTATCTTGCAATTATGAATGCTGGATGAAGAATATTCTCATTGATACAAAGAATGCCTGTGGCTCAGACATCACAACAGAAGACACAACCAAGAAAGCACAAGTTGACCTCAGTGATGAGACACAGGAGAGTACTTTGACTGGAAAGGCCCATTGGGAGTGCAGAGCAGCCATCTGGAAAGCCGCCAGTGGACAGGCACAGTAACCCCTGGAGAACTCTGTGACTCTGGCTGCTTTGGAGCCTTGGGGAGCAGTTGGGTAAGAAAGGGGTTTGGAGAACAAGTTTATGTTGGAGAATATGCTATGGTCAAATATGTTTACTCTAGCTCCCTGCTTCAGGCCAACCCATCCCATGGGCTAGATCTTTGGTTTGGTCCCATCCCAGACACACCTAGGATTCCAAACTTCCACTGGATTAGGGTAGAAAAATAAACAAAAATCCCCAGCATTTACCGTTATTTTATTAGATTAACTTCATCCCTTTAAAGGATGTGGACTGATGGCTGGCACCCTTCAAACAGGTCTGAGTGAATTGAATCAGAGATGGAGCAAGAGGCCAAGAGTGTCGCTTTAGGATCGTTTCTGCACATGGGAAAACAAGATGAGGAACCAGTGATTTCCCTACTAGCCTCAATCAGTACAGTTCTATGTCAACTTCTTGAGGCTCCATCGGTTCCCATAGTCTGGTGACCTCTGACTTCATGCATTATGAATTGTTTCCTGATGTGTTTCACAATTATGAATAAGGACTGGTGTAACTTGGGGCAATTTGTTAAGAATGTTTGTAGGTGTGTTCTTCCAAAGATCATATTTCAACTCTAAATCTGTGTTGATGTGAGAATGTGCTCAATGATCGATAGCTATTTCTATCTCTATCCATATCCAGATCAATCTAACCAGAGTCCAGATTAAGGTACATAGGTTTCCTTCATGTTCTCTTGTGAATCTGAGTGGATTCTCCTCCCCTCCCACTCCATGAGTTCATCAAGGTCATAGTTCTTCAGAGGTTTCAGCCTGGATTGGAAGACCATTCCTCAAATACTTTGTTTCCAGCTTGGGTGACATAGAAACTTCTTTATGACATAGGCACGCAAATATTTCCTGGTCCGATGTAATATTAGCTCACATACTTACCACTTACATTTTTAATTACCTTTGTTTTGTTCTGCAGGACTTCCCCTTACTTAAGAGCTCAGATGTGCCTTTAAAGGACATTTAAAAAATGTTATACAACATTTATGAGTATTTAAGCTTAATACTTTTGACTTTATATGTCATTCATATAATTCATAAGTATAATAATTCAAAAACATCTAAATAAAGTAGTGGACAAGACTTCAAGTTCTCCAGCCTGCCTTTTTTAGGGCTTCCTACACGCTATTCCATCTGCCTGGAACACTCCTCCCTGTGACTCTCGTGTCGGAATTCAGATCGTCTTCTCTCCAACCTCAGTGTGTAGAGCTACTTGTCCATTTGCCCTTGTGTGTGGAGCGCCAGGTATATCTACTTCAGCACTTGCCACAGCAGAGTCACCTATTTGTGAGCCATCATCTTCTGTTGGCTTCTTTGCTTTTTAAAAAAAACCGCAAATCTCTTTTACAAACTCATTGGTTTCTTGCCTTTCTGAATTTTCCTTGGAGCATAGCAATAAAAACCCTTACCAAAAATAATGCCATGAAGGTTATCAATTTATTACAGAAGCTTAGCAATTAACTTATTTTTCACAGTAGAAAAAGAAACATGTTTTTTAGAAAATTGTTGCTAGGTGTGCTGGCACACACCTGTAATCTAAGCCCTCAGAAGGCTGAGGCAGGAGTATCACTGAAAGTTTGAGGCAAGTCTGGGCTACATAAGGAATTTAAGGCCGCCATAGTGAAACCCTGTCTCACAAAACAAAACAAAATTTTAAAAAAGAATGAAAAAGAAAATTGTTTTCTTATTCAAGTTCATTTTCTTATGTTTTACCTCATGTTAAACTGAGAATTTCTAAAAAAAAAATGCCATATTGATTTTCTATTGTCCATGAGAATTACTTTTTCCCTTTCTTTATAAAATATTCAATTTTATGTCAAGTGAGAAAAGATCAAAATCTATTTTTTTCACTAAGTATTTGTTGCTTACCTTCAAAATAAAAGAAAGAATACAGAGAGATATTGGTAGCCCAGGAGAGCTTGGTGGTCCAAGGTAGGTCTTCTTTGGGTCAGGAGAATAAAATGTGCTTGTAAGAAACAGGCATGGCGGTTCACAGATAATCCTAGCACTTTGGGAGGCCAAGACAGAAGGATCAAGTCCCAGCCCAGCATGGGCAACCTAGTGACTTAGTGAGACCCTGTCTCAAAATAAACAATAAAATAAGGGCTGGAGATGTAGCCCAGTGCCAGACCCTGGGTTCGATAGCCAGTACTGCAAAACAAAAGCAAAACTAAAAAAAGGACACAGAAAAAATCCAAAACAAATCACAGCTAAAGAACTTGTTTGTAGGCCTAGGAACAGGATTAGGAAAAGAGGAGCAAAGGTTTCAAGAAACATAAGAAAGAGTCCTGCCTTCCCCTCCTGCAGAGTGCATCATGGGCTATAATAGGCTCAGGGTGACACCCGAAGCTACTTCCACGGGCTTTTCTGAGAGCAGTTTTAAACGGAGGCAGATTTGCTGTTGATCATATTATCCTCCTTGCTCCAAGCAGATTGCTGAGACCAGAGGATTCATGACTTTCAGTTTGGGAACAGGGAAATGTATTTCTTATAGGACTATGCTGATTGGGGTTATACAGAGCCTAAAAACACTCCTGGTGGTTGTGCAAACAATGATATGAGGTGAAAATGAGAGATACAGCTCCCAAGGTAATTAATACAGGGTACATTGAAGTTGAAAACTCTTATGACAGTTTACTGCTTTTTTTAAAAGCCAAGGCAACTTGTTTCTCAGATTCCAGTTTAGAAAGAGGAGTCTTAAAAGGTGCCATTTGGTGGGATTGGTGCTAGAAAATTGAAAGAGCCAATTTAACATCCTTCAGATCCATCACCAACATTTGTACAGAAGATTAAAATGAGATAATCCAGAAAGAGAAATAGGCATGCATTTAACCAGTCAAAATTTTTTTTGATGCAAATAATTCTGATTTTGATTTCATTATGTAACTTATTTTAACTTTGAACAAACATTTTGTGAACTGGAAACACTTTTTCTCTCCTGAGCTTTAGGCTAAATATAACTTAAAATCATAAGGAATATTCTCTGCAACTTCAAAGTGTTTCTGTAATTCAGTGTTGAGTTCCTTAAAAATCGAAAATCATATCTTGACATTTCCACGTGTCAAATATAGGGATCCCTCTTTGCTGAGAGGCAGCACAGTTGATTGCGAGAATGTGGGCTCGAGGGAGTTGTCAAATGCTTCTCATTTCTATCAGAACGGTTGATGTTTCTGTGACTGGAATATTGAGTATGAGAGAGGCTTCATGCGATCACACAATTTGCTTGGAGAAAATCCTAAAGGCATGATCACCGGACAAAGGGCAATAAGCAAATCTTAACAATTGTATAAGGTAGTTTATTTTTCCTACTTTAAATATTACTGCAAATTTTCTATTGATTTTTGCCCCATTTATTCTCTTTAGCTCCCAAAAGTCTTATGAAAAAGTTTTTATTAATTCTTTGGCCAGTTAAGGATTACTTCTTTAAATACAACTAGATCTCTGGCGCTCTCTAGTGGTCAGAAAATTTAAAACATTCCTTTATGTGAATTTGTATTTTACTTTGCTCTCTAGCTTTGTGCACAAGGTGTAACCTAGATATTCTACCCCATGTGAAGAGGGATTATTTAGTAACAAAATAATGAATTCAGAAATTCTGTAATCACACCTCTATGCCTCTACACTAGGAAGCCTGAGATAGACGAACTAAATTAAGGAATCTGATCATAAAATCCAACTAAAACAAAACCTGTTAGGAGAGGGAAATACTGTCTCTAATGCTTTTGGGTAGCTCCGTCATTATGGCTGTGAGACCTTTACAATTTAAAATTGAAAAAGACGACTAAGTGGAATTAACACCTGTTTTGAAACTACACAGCTCTGGGCTTCATTCTAGCTCCTATCAATTGGCAAGTGTTTAACTCCTAAGCTTCAGATCGTCATATAGCACAGGCTGGTAATAATCACACCCCACAGAGCTTCTGTGGACTTGAAGCATGAAGGCCAGTGGAAAACTTTGCCCTCAAATTGGTGGCAGATGGTATTAAGGGAAGGAAGATGATTATTGAGACAGGTCTAGGTGAAGGCAAGGTTTTATAAAACCAGTTTTCTGCACTAATAGGATTGTTGTGGGTGAGCCTGACTTAAGGTTCTATTGGGCCCATTTTCCCAGCCTATAATCCCAAGTCTCCAATCAATTTGCCCCCTTAAAATACAAGTTCCCTAATAATCACACATTTGCATCTACTTGTCCATTCTTTTTATTTTTCCAGAGCATGGCAAAACAAGGAGACAACTGAATAGGTGAGGGGTTTGCACAACGGAAAACCACCCTGACCATCTTATGACTTCACAGGGACCAAAGATGAGCAAGTGCTCCTGTAAAGCGATTCTGCCACACGAGAGGCTGAGAGGATCCTCAGGGCAAGGAGAGGAAGGAAAAGAAACCGACGTCACAGTTATTTAAAATGACTTCAGAGCTAAACATAATATACATAGTAATGCCATTATCCTAGTATAAAAATAGTGCCAGAAACTATATATTTGTTCAAATACTGAAAAGGTATAAGAAGAATACAAATAGATATTAACAGTGGCTAGTGATGATTCATAAGGTTTATATCTTCAAGTGTAATAGAAATTTATATTTTCAACTATTTACATTGCTTTCAACAACCTTAAGACATACTTAACACAGGCTTTTGATAAGTATATGGAAAGGTGAAATGAGCTTTGATACTTTCTTCTTCGCTCCCTGTGGTAGAGCAGAAGGGGTCCCCAAACTGCACAATTTTACAGTCCATGAGAACTCTTGAGTTATCATTACGTGGCCTGTATATGGAAACATAATGGAATCTATGACTCCTTACATAGGGTGCTCTTTTAGCTGTCAGGAGGTTAAAGTGATTCACACTATCAGGATGCTCACTGATAGATTCTTAATGAAAGGTGCATAGCACATATGTTACAGATGAAAATGAAAGAGACAGAATATACTCTATATTTTCATGTTCAATTTGCAGGATCAGAAACTGTTAGGTGTCTTAACTGGCACTGCATGCATAGACTGTGAATTCACTATAGTAACTGTTCTGTCTCCACAGCTAGGCACAATGCCTTATATGCGGCAAGGATTCAATAAAAGGTGGGCTGATGCATGTTTGATACTGAACAATTAAACTGTACCATCTGAATTTTAACTATACCCATCACAGGAAAGGTTAGCAATTAAACTTTCTTCCTCTCATCTTAAATGTACTGTATATACCATATTGCTTCTGATGGCCCAATAATATTTAGGAGTACCGAGTACAATCTGGTGAAAACTAAAGGAAAACTGAAAATCAAATTGGAGCAGGTCTAATATTTGTCCTATATCCTGAAAATAAAGGCACTTTACTGCTAGGCAAGAATCTGTCTGTGATCCATTTCCTTGTAAGAATCCGATATTTCTAGTACATTTTCATGCACAGTACTTTCTTATCTCCAATACTGCTGATAAAGGAGACTATTCTTCATAATTAAGAGATCAGTGGTGACAGCCTCATCATCCTGGGTTTGTATCCCAGGCAAAACACTCAAGTAGCTCAAAAATCTCATACCGATTGTGATCTGAACATGGAGCTGAATGACTGTATATTGCCTTTGCTTTGTCAGTCTTGGAAATGCACATAAGAAGTGATCTATAGTATTAGGTCTTGCCTCTCTCACACAATATCCCATTTTGGACAGTGGTCTCCGAGGCTCACTGGGGATCTCCAAGTAGCTGCCTTCTCCACCACTCCACCTCAACCCTACCCCCAAGACAGGCTTTGGCCAAGCCGAACTACTTTAAAAAACACAACTTGTTCAGGCACACAGAGGTTAAGTGACTTGTACACAGGACTGTGATGGGCACAGGCCAACGTGCTGAAAAATGTAAGGCAATCTTACAGACATCTTTCAGCAAGTTAGTAAAATAGTGGCAACTTTTCTGGCTGAAAATTGAAATTAAATGCACCCTGTCATTCTGCTAAAATCAAACACCCAGCCAACCACCAACCAACCAAACAAACAAAAAACAAACAATATAGAACAAGAACAACTTCTTGCTAGTTATGGGTAGTATAAATATAGGGTAGGGTGAGGAAGTCCTATATGTATTTTTTTCTAACTTGGGAAGATACTGGCAAGGAAATACTCACATAAGAACAAAGATTCCGATTTGTGCCCAGATACCACAGATAATAATCTATGCATGGAATGATTTTCTTACAAACTAAAAATTCTTTTAATTAATTAACCAGTCCTAAAGAAGTATTCTTTTCTATATGAACTAAACTATCCAACAATAGGCATGGCAGTACCTAACTTCTTTTAACGCCTAAACTACTGAAGTGAAGTAAACTATTATCTAAAGGCAAACCAAACAATTTCTAATCTAAATATATCTTCTTGTTTGTTAAAATGGCACGTGTCCACATCCTCCACACACTATCTACCATGTCTTTAAAAAAATTCTCAATGACAGCAGAGAGGTCTAAAAACGCTACTGAAGTATATGAATATATATTTTAGTATAATTGCTAAATCACAATGTGTGTGAAAAAAGATAGCTTCACTAAATATTACTGTTCTTTAAATAATTTGTCTATACTAAGGAATTATGTAGGCATGCACAAGTGTTTACCAATATGTGGATGTGGCTATTATTTTAGGGAGTCCCTGTAATTTACACATCAGTGCCACCAAGATTTGACCAGTATGACATGAAATAAAAATAACTTTCTGCAAATACAACCATTGCAGTAACACATAGCAACCGCTGATAACTTTTAGGGTTAGCCTTTACCAAGACAAAGTAACAGCAATACAATGTAGATTTCTTTGGTGCCTAATTGATAAGGATAAAGCCACATAACTTCAAAATATGCGTACATAGTCAGAATTTTGAACGGGTTGAATTTTAGGCAAAGATTAGAGGGAAAAACAAATGAAGCACACATTTTAGAGAAGAGTCTTTGAAACTGTTGCATTACAGGCATTTTATCCAAATCAGTAGTAAAAAATCAGTTTAACACTTTCTTCTTGAAGGGGTGAGGGTGGAAACTAACAAATCAAATCTCTCTTCCTATTGCCCCCAAATCTGATCATTTATTCATATTTGGAATAGACTTTCCTTTCTTAAAGTAGCTGCTCAATTCAAAATCTATTTCTCCAAAGTGAATTCAGGGGCACCAATGGGCTCATATCCCAAGAAAATGTAAACTACTAAAACTTATGGGAAGGAAATTCCCCAGACTATGACCTAAAAGTCAGTATTTAGGTCACACACCCAAAATTCTTTGATTTTGGCTTGACTCATCCTATAAACCAGTGGTGGTGAACCTATGGCACAAGTGCCACAGTGGGCTGTTTGTATCACCGAAAGCTCTAAAAGGTTTGCCATCACTGCTCTAGACCAAAATATAGCAGTTTCTCAGTTGCATTCAAAACACGGATTCTCAGAAGGATCTTCCAACAGAACTTTTCTCTTGGCTGACCGGCACTCAGGCCCTTGCACTTCTGGATCACACTCATCCTCAGGAAGTCAGTGACTGCGTCTTCACCTGGTTTCTCCTGCTCACGGTCAGGTAGGGGATACTGCAGTGCTTTGCAGGCCATCTTGGGACAGAAGGGACTGCACTGAAATGACAGAATTCTCTCCTGCCTGTTCTTTCAAAAACAGTAAATCAATGGCCTACTGTGGTTTCTTTACAATACTGTCTCATAGTACTTGCTGTGTGTTTTTCAGTGTCTTAAATTTAAGACATTTTTGACAAATGTATGCTTTTCTCTTTAAAATCCTCTCAGCTGACATTTACTCTATCCTATGATGGCCTTAGATGTCCCAGAGTGTATTTAATTTTCTCCTAACCTACTTTGAGAAAAGAAAGACTCCAAACATTGTTGAAAGATTGGTAACTCAGAAAACACAAAAACTAGTTATTCATAATTCCCAATCACAAAACAACCTCAGTGCAAGAACGCCTCTTACACTGTGCAGTACCCAAAGTACCACAAACAGTGGTCTGATCAATGTGTTAAGTAATGATAGGTGTCATTAGTCACTTCAGTGGCATATAACAATTGTACAGAAAAAAATGTAATTGACCGTATTCATGCTATGCTCTAAAAAGTTGTGCAAAAATAAAAATTCAGCAGTGGCGAAGCATACACCCAATCTAAACAGTGCACAGTGAAACCAGGTATACTGCGGATACACAGTCTCGGCAAACTCTAATTCTGTGCGGAGCAGGCAGCTTAGTTCTGCTTGGCCTGGCTGTTTTCCCCATTCACCATGATCTTCTCCTGCTGCTCTGCGAGGGCCTGCCATTTCTGCCTGTTCTTCCTGCAGCCGTCTAGCAAAGGCATGCAGTCCTCTGATACGTGGGTCAGGGCCTAGAGCAAGAAAAAGAAAGGAAATAACTAGAAGGAAGCCAGGAAATAAGCCCTCTCCCAAGCCCTGTCCCGAAGGGCCACATTCCACACTCATTTCATGAGCAGGCCCCCTGCAGGGGGTTTTCCCAAGCTGCATGAAATCTACATCCACACCTCACTCCTGAAGGATTCCTCAGAAGCTGTTCAAATAAGGAGGACACACTGAGAGACAGGACAAGTGCACACATTCCAAAGCAACCTCACTGAATCATGCAGACAGCTCTGCATGGAATCTGCTTTTCAGGGAACAGTGCATTTGTTTCTATGTAGCACAGATGGCTCCCTGAATGCAGAGAGCTGCTGAGTTTTTGTGTTCTTCTACAGATTGCCTTTATACAATGGTCTTAGGTTTTCATCCAAGATCATAATAAAGGTTAATTAATAATTGATTTATCTTCCTTTTTGTTTCTCTGTACTGTCTGGTTTTTCTACAAGGAGAACATTTACTTCTGTAATAACAGTGAAAATATAAGGCAGTGTCACAGGATTTTCAACACATTCAAATGGAATGAATCCTTACACTTACATAAAACATAGAAGGTTAAAATCTATAGTAGGTGATGTGATTACTATTTGCATGAATTCATAGAGATGGCAAAAATCAAAGGGCCTTTAGCATTTTCAGCTAAGGAGCTCTATCCAACCAGTAGGGAAGGAATCGGCTATGCAAAGAATGAGATGGTCCAGAGGGCTTACAAGACTGCTCCAAACCCTTCTGAGGAAGAACCTGTAAATAAGTAGAAGGCTAGGAAAAGGTGGGAGCTAGCAGCATTGTGCCCCTAGTGGCCTTTTTTCTTGTTTCTTTTTCTGGTTTCTTTTTTCTGGCTCTTTGCTCTTCTTCTCTTTCCTCCTCAGCCACAGCTTCTTTATGGATTTCTCCTGATGGCTAGAGCACTAGGGGGACTAGGGGTGAGAAATGGATTCCGGATGCAGTTGCCCACTAACTACCTGTTGTCTGGGGCAAACATTGTTTCCCTGGAAAAGGAACTTAATAAATTCAATTATTGAATATACGTAATACCTGAATTAGAAAACTCTAGGTTTCTTCTGGTTTTGATGTTCTGTGATAACTCCACAATAAATGTTCTTTTCCAAATTAATAAAAAGTCTCCAGTTTCAACTTCTTGGGATTTCACATAGAACCTCATGCATAGTAGGCAAGCACTGTACAGTATCACTGAGCTATATCCCCAGCTCCAGTTTTACATTTCAAAGACAAAGGCAGTTTCTACTTCCTGTACTTGGGCCATACACATCTAATCTGGTAAACTGGATATTTTAGGGAGAATCTTTATACTTGAAAAAACCCAAAACAGACAAAACCAAACCCCAAAGAAACTAAGCTATCAGAAGTATAGAAATGGGAGCCTGCAATATTCTTACAGCCATTTGCTGTTAGTTCTCAGAAAAATTCTCTTCATATTATATCCACAGTATGACAGTGAGAAAAGATTGGATAATTCTTTCTCCTTACTTAGGCTAAAATTTAAACTTAAAAAGTAGAATGCTAATGGAGAATCTGCACAATATACTTCCTGGAGGGCAGGCACCACGAACACACATTTTGTCTTAGCTTTCCTAAATCAATGTGTTGGTACTTAGCACACAGTAGGCACTCAACAGATATCCAGACAGAAAATGAATTAAAATCTTAGAGAAGCAGAAAATACAGTGGTTGATTCATGAACTTGATTCTTTCCATGATTCTGGTTGCAAAATGAGTTGGACAGGAACTGAATCAAATTCAATGGTTAGGTTCAATGTTGACCTTATGGGAAAATTTAATTCAGTTCTCGCCCTGTTTGGTTTGTGATCAGAATCATGAATGAGAATTGAGCTTGCGAATTGAGGTATCGCTGTATAAATGTGTTCCTTGGTCAATGAAAACATGTTCCTCAGGAAAAAAAAAAACCCACTATAGTAATTTTATTTATTTTTTCTTGATCTGGAAACAAAAAACATCCAACTACATTTAATTTTAGCCAAAAGGCAGAGAAGTAATAAAACATGCAACCAGTTGTTTAATTTCTTGAATTTGCTTCAGGTTTTAATTCCTAACACAATCTAAATTTAGCAAGTTTTCATATAAATACCTCATATAGTTGCAAGCAGATGGCATCTATAAACCCAACTTGCATACTTGGGATTTTGTTTTTCTTCTCTCTATTCATTAGATCCTGAAAATGTAAACAAAGACCCACACAAGCACATGTATATTTACTTCAAGAACAATGAAGGTTGGTTCAAAAACAATAGATTCTCTAATGAGAAGGGAAACTACAGATGTAGTGGGGGTGGGAGGGGCAGAGAAGGGGAAATAAAAAGAATTAAGATATGTTATGCATATGTACTAATTCCCCATGAGGAATGCAAACATGTATTAATAAATGTAAAATAAATATAAAAAATATAAAATATAAATAAATATAAAAAATAAAAAGATCACATAATGGGCTAGCTCAGAAAGGTCAGATAGCAATTACTTATGTGCATCTCCTGTACCCCCTGAAAGAAAAAAGACCTTGTTTCATTTTTAAAAGACAGAAGTGGTTTGAGAAGAATCTTTTATCTTGGGTTTGGGGGTCTACATTCTACGTGAAAAGGAGTACACATCGAACACCTTTGAATTCCTTCTGGAAATTTACCCTAAAAGGATAATAAACAATGGCACAAAAAACTTTAGCAACACTGATGTTTTTGAACATGCTGTCTGTAACAGTGAATACTGCTAACATCATTACACCAAAAGGAGTGGATAAATTATGGCCACATTTATTTCAAGCAACTGTAATATATAAAACACAAAGGAGCACCTGTTAGAATACAAAGTGGCTTATGCTATTTAAGTGGAAAAAGCAGAATGTAAAAATGTGGGTGACTTCAAGGGCCTTTTGTGTCCTCTTATTTGCATGTGCTTTCTGTAAGGAACATGTATAGCCCTTTTAATAAGAAAAAATGTTACAAAATAGAATGGGAAATTGCATGCCCAAGAAGAGATCTCATAGAAACATAAAAAAGAATACAATGTTAAAAAATTCATTTGAATAATTCCCACCAACAAAGTCTCACACTTACAGTGGGCTCTATGTTGAGTTCTTTTCTCTCTCTGTCTCCTTGATCGAAAAATTCAGTTGCTACAAGTTCTGCTATCTGAAATAAAAAGCAGACTGAGTTTTGGGAAGGAAAAGTTTAACGTTCTTTAAAGCAGAGGCTTTCAAAGAAGATAATAAAATCTATTGAATGTAATAGTTTGCTGCCACATCAATAAAATTAAAATAAAGTTGTAATGCATAGTAGAAATAATACTTCACTTGTTTTAAATATAAGAGTAATAATAAGACTAGAGTTTGTAATCTTGTATAACTAAGCATAAAAAAGCAACATGTTATTTCAACTCTACCAATTAGTGGAAAAACTGTGTGGCCACCTGCAGGCACAATCAGTGAGTTGTTTATTAAGCACCTGTTCATAAAAGGTGCAGTGGAAAAACACAGCATCAAACAAGTCCATTTATTGCAATTGGCTTTTTAAATGTCTTTTAATCTACAGGTTCTCCTCTTTCATCTCTTTAAATTTTTCTTGCACTTTTATTTTCAAGATTAAATGGATATGCTAAAAAAAATTCCCAAAGGGAGCCAGAATAGTACTGAAATTGAAACTTATTAACAATTCGATTTTTTCTCTGTTAATATCTGTTCTTTTCCTTAGTATATCACAGGCATTAAGTGCAAATGAATCTTCTAAAAAGGAAAGCTATTTCATGCCCAACTCTCTGCTTTTAATAGTGCTTAAAATTAGGGAAAAAGTTTCATAAGTACTTAGTTTAGAAGCTATCTATAAGTGCAAAGATATTTTTATTTTGGCTGTTTAGTTATTACATTTATCATCACTAAGCAACATACCCGTTGCTGAATAGGCCAAGGTTTTGTAATTGCAGAAAGATCACAGGCTGTCATCAACATGGCTCTGTTAGGGGAAAAAGAAATCCCAAACTTCTATTTACTTTTATGTGAATATATACCTTCAGTAAAACATCACTAATAAAGACATAAAATTAAACACCTCTCAACCATTAGGAAAAGTAGGTCACGGAGGCCAAAGGAACAGAGACAGAATTTACACAGGAGTGATCACAGTGTGTGGTTGTTTTGGTTCTCTGTGAGCTCTTGGGATTTGTCCTCAAACTCCTTATTCAGCTCCAGGTTGGCACAGAGAGAAATTATTACCCTTTGCATAAAAACTTGCCTGCTTTTATTATTTCTTTCAGTGTGCCAGCTATTCTCAGTGGCAGTATGATAAAAGCACTCTATTAATCATTAGCTACCAGGATATACCATCAGCTTACTGATGAAAGTCCTGTATCGGAAATGACAGCGTGTCAGGCTAACTCACAACCTGTAGTGCCTTCTATGCAAAAAGTCTTTGAATGATTAAACAGTGAAAGGAGAAGACCCTGTCAATCCTTCCCTGGTTAGAGAAACGCAAACCACAGCATCCCTGGTGTGCTAAGGAGGTGCTCAGGGGCTGAAAGCTACAGCTACTGTGTGAAAACTGTCCAGTCTTTAGTACCCCATCCCAGGTATCCCACGTCAGATCCAAGTGTCTGCCAAATAATCCCTTTAATTTGTTTGAAGAAGTAGACAAAAAGGCCATTCCTATAAAAGAAAAAAAGTCAGGGCAAAGCATCATTCGTCCCTCTAGTGAAACACACCTTAAAGTGTACTCTCGCTACCGGACTGATGCTCTATACCTTTTACCAACTCCCCCTCGGGAAAGGAGCACACCACAGGGATTTGTGATCACTGTTGGAACCCACTGTGGTGAAGGATTTTAGTAATACTTGCAATAAGAACTGCCTCCTCCAAGGAAGACTGTGCACCTAAATGAGCTTAACTACAACCCCCAAAATGAAGGGGTGGGCAGGGATGCTGAGTGCTAGGTCTGCCAGGCCCTTGGTGGGGGGTTGTAATAACCTTGGAAGAGCTCAGCAGGGAAAACCAGCACACTCCCGGGAGTTCGTGTTTCTTTTTAATTAGTGAAAAAAGCTGTGCACTACTTGCAGTGGCACGTCTGCACTTTTCTATTCTGAAAAACATGTTGAGGCTATTAAGTGATACATTACTATCCAGAACACACAGCTGGCCATTTGTATCTTGTTTCCTTCTAATTTGCATTTTTCTTTGTGTGCTAAGTACTCTCAATCTGTTTAAAGAAATGTTGATTTCAAAATTGTATCAGCACTGTTAGTTCTTTCTCTCCCTCCTTTCCTTCCTTTCTTCCTTCTTTTCTTCTTAACTTTTAAGACAGGGTCTCCTTAAATCACCTAGGCTGGCCTCAAACTTATGATGACCCTTCTGGCTCATCCTCCCAGATGCCGGGATTACAGGCATGTACCAGCACACTTGGCTGCTTTTTTTTCTTCGTTACTGACTCTTAATTCTTTTTTATTGATCCAGTTCCTGTCATGGCTAAGGCAGTAAAAGTGACAGCAAAAAGCTAGAAGGAGGCAGGAAGGTGTACTGATGAGGAAAAACAGAAGTCTTCATGTCCCCCAGTTCTGAATGTGCTATGTTTTTATAACCTGAGACAAGTGAGCACTTCTCAGCTAGCTTTCTGCTACAGCCATCTATAGAATGCTACCTTCAGCACTTCCATTCCAAACCATGAGAGAATGAAGAAAAGGGAAACTTATGGCTCTGAAATGATACTCTACTACTCTATCACATTTGAAAGGTTCATCTAGAACAAGAGAACAATTTATTCACTTGGATTCACAAATGCATTTCTTTTCAAGTGTATGTTCATATTCAGTTCTTTGTATGATACTCTACAGCCTCACAGATAATCATGTTGTAACGAACAATTGCAATAAAAACTAATAGGGGGAAAATTAACTGAGTAGCAGTTAATTTGTAACTTGCAACAGTGAACTCGTAAGGATAATAGACGGACTTACAAAAACAATTCCTTTTGATGAGGATCTTCCAAATTGAATTGATTTTTTCTTATAAGTTCAAAAAACTCTCCTCGTCTCCTTGAAAATAAAGAATTCAGTAGTTATGTTGAGTCCACAGGTTTTTATCCTTTTGCTCTTCAAGACTCATGGAATAAGATATTAAAACATCTTTAATTGTGTTCTATCTCTACTTTTTCTCTCATCCTAGAACCCAGTATAAAAGCCATCATTTAAAATATTTCATACCTCTTTTCTTCTTCTCATTTGCTTTGCGTAGAACATGAAACCTCACCTAATTTTAATTACAGATCACAAATAACGGTAATTCAAATTTGGAATCTTTTTAATTAAAAACAATTATAAATGTGATGTCAAATGATTTAAGATATTTTAAGTTCATGGCATAATAGGATCTATAGGCTTCAGCTTAGCATCACCTATCTTATTCATGTATATTAAGGTATAGGGTAAAAAAGGACAATAAGTTGTGAAGGGAACTGAAGTAAAGAAAGACCAAGTTTAGAATACCATTTATTATTATTCTGGGAATATAATATTCAGTGTACTTCCTATGTGCCCAACATTGTTTCAAGAAGTCACAAAAGTTATTCTTTTCACATCTAACCAGAGACACAAGACTCAAGAAAAAAAAGACTTATGTAGTAAAATTGTCTAGTACTGAACATTCAATATGAGACGCAGGCTTCATAAGGGATCACAGGAGAGGTTCACATGATTAGGAAAGACTGGAAAGGCGTGGTGATTACTGATATTTTCAAATTCTTGGTAATTTGATAATCCTTATTCTGTAATTATTTTGAATAAACTGTAGTTTACTGTATTTTCGTTTGTTTAATTAAAGTTAGACTGCTCCAAAACTCAATGAAGCCAACACGATCATTTTTTCATATAGAAGAGTAGATATTTGTTGTTCGTTTTTTTATGTTTATTCTATTTGCTTTGCTTCTCATAGAGGGGGCTGGGAATCAGTCTAGTGGTGGGTGGGGAGAGACTTGTGCTACACAGATGTCCTGTTAGTGTGACTCCCGGCTTCTGGAGTACCCACACATGCATCAAAGATCCCAGTCCTTAATTGGAAACTAAAGATTGTCCAAAAGCAGGAAAATATTTTTTAGCTTTTAGAAAAGCAGTTTAATCATGGGAATACACAGTCACAAGTACCACTTTTATACATAGTCGTATTTTGGAACTCGTCACCTCCAATTTCTACATTCATACTCTTCTGCCAAAATCAAATAAACAGAAACAAGAATTGCTTTTCTTGGGATTTGGCTCCTTTAACTGCCCACCTAGGCTGAGACAACAGTGTAAAGATGTCATGAGATGGACAGAGGTTGAGGGAGCAAGGGAAGGAAGAGAAAATAGGCTAGAGCATCTTTAGATTGGCTCTGCTGGCCTGAAAGGAGCTCGAGATGGCTATTTGATGTGAGCAGCTCCAGAGACACACGGGTAGATAAATATTAATGACAGCGGTGTTTTCTGTAATTTTGAGCAGTAGCTAAACCAAAGGAGCAGATTTCTCTGGCTGCCTTTAAGAAACTGCTCCACAGATGATAAACAGCTTTGTCAGGATGTTCCTCTTGGTAATTAAAGACCTTCCAATGTGGATGCTAAAAGCTTGAACCAATGCAAATACTCCCAAGACCTCTTTTGGAGGGTATTTCTCTTTTTTCATGATTATTATTATTTTTTGAGTGATAAAAACTTTATTGGTACATTTTGGCCATACATAATGCTAACACTCATCATAGGGAATTTGCACCTGTACATGATACATCCCGCCTCTTTTTTCCCAGCCACCCTGCCCCTTCCCTCCCTATGTACAAAAGCTTTGTTTTGGAGAGTATTTCTTAAAACTTACTTAATGTACAGTGCTAGATCTGTAGCTAAAATAGCTTGCTTGATTATTTTCAGTGTGGTCTTATATTCTTCAATGGAGAGGCCACTGAGAATTTGATTGCCCTTTATTAAAAAAGACAGAAAAGAAAACTATTGTTAGCATTCTACCTGAAGTAGGCACTGACAATAACAAATTGTCTTAAGCATATGCCTAGTGTTCTGCACTCGTGAATATGAAGGATACTTGCTTACTTAAATACCATGAAATCAAGTCATATTTCCCCTCTACACACATCCACATCCTGTCATATAAGAAAAAAAAGACAGCTTCATATCTGCCTACGTATGCATGTTTGTTCAGCTATTCTACTCCTTGAGCCTTCTCCAGACCTAACATCTAATAGCTACATATCTTCCCTTTGGGCAGTTTAATTCATATAATCTAAGACCAAGCAAAACTGAAAAATCAAAGCCATATTGGTGGATGTAAAGAACAGAATTGTGAAGTTTTTAATTAATTGACTATTATAAAGTCACTTCTCTTTGGCTTTTGTAATAAAAACAGTAATATTTCTTGTTCTGGTGCAAATTTATAGACCTTATTCAGCATTGAGAACCACGTGTTTCCCTTAGGAATATAAGAATACAGATGGTTGGTGGCATAAGAAAGCATGGGCTGAACCATCTACAAGGAATACATAAAAAGGGAGCTGATCCATGTGTACACCATTAAAAGTTTTCCCCACATAATCATTTTTTATTTCTTGCCTATAATTTAAAGCAGAAAACCTCTATCATCTTGAACTAAGTGAAGCACATAGCTTGGGCACTCAGAGTATATGCAGAACATCTGTAAATAGAGCCAGATGTGTTTCATAAATCATAGGGCCAAGGAGAAGCCCAGAGGCATAGGAATAAGATCAGGAGGCAAAGCATTTGTTGTGAAGATGGGGGAACTGCTGGGAGTGCTGGGTGGAGGCCAAAACACACTGGTTAGAGGATCACCCCATGCGGCAACTATGGCATGGACCTAATTAATGACAAAAATCTGTGACTACAATCAAAAACATTTAAAAATATTAAATCATTTTAGATTTGAGGCCAACAGAAAACTATTCAAAAAACTTCTGATACTTTTAAGATAAAAAATTTCAAACAGAAAATGATATGTCTTTGGTGCTATATTCTTACTTTTCTCCACAAATGCAAAAGTGGCAATTTTTTTTCTGCAACTGTACTTAAAGAGAGGATTTATAGATAGCTCTGATCATGTGAGTCAGCCATATATACAACTGGATATGTTTAAGTAATAACTTATTATATAAAAGAAGTAACTGAAGCTGGGTGTCTTACTTTTCTCTCCTTGCTGAGACAAAATATGTAACACCCACAAGTTAAGGGAGAAAAGGTTCATTTAGCTGGCAGTTTGTATAAGTTTCAGTCCATAATCGGCTGGCTCTAGGGCAGGGTGGCATAGGAGACAGGCATCACAGAGGAGATACAGTCCACGGCAGGCAGAAGGTAGCAAAGCAAGCAAGCAATGGACAACCACAGCTCTTTCTATCCCTTATATTTTATTCAGGCTACTTAGAGCAGGTAGCACTCACACCCTTAATTTTAGTGCCCTTGATCCTAGCATTGCACCATGAATTAATTCCAGAACCACATACTCTAGGTCAAGCCAGCTCTGAAAAATCCCCACCTATGACTGCAGGAGGCTTTGGGGAACAGCTAGACACAAGCCTTAAGACTGGGTAGAGCGGTGCACCTCCATAATCCAAGCTAATTTCCAGAGACAGGGGGATTGCAAGTTTGAGGCAAGGCTGGGTAACTTAGTGAACTGTTTCAAAATAAAAAATAAAAAAGGGTGGTGATCTAGCTTGGTGGTAGAGAAGCCCTGGGTTCAATCCCCAGTATCACAGACATACACAGTAACTACAATAGGAATATCATTACATATGTTTCAAAAAATGGTTAGCATATTTTCTTACCTTGGAACTGATGTTTAATAGATATTAAAATAAAAGTTTTACTTCAAGTACATTGATTGCAAATTCCCAGCAAGTAGAGATGTATTTACAATGATGTAACATATACATTTTTGCAAAGTTTCAGCTTTGGAAAGCTACACACTAAAAATAACATGGTTTGTGGGCAAAACAGTGTTGGGGCACACCCCTCAGAACCTAAGCAACTTTGTAACCAGAGCTTAAACTGAATCCACAACCAGTGCCTCTGCCTGCTGCCTCAGCAGGCTGCCCTGGAGGATCTTAAACACACACACAAAAGCAGCCAAGCAGAAGTGCTGGATCATGGGGCCCTGGGACAAAGCTGACAGAGCGGGATCACTGAGACCTTGGGGCTGTGTAAAGGTGGATGCTAACTAAGGAAGAGCAAATGCCAAGAGCCCACAGCAGGGAAAGCAAGGGGAAGGGCCCTGGGCAAGAGTCCATTTTTATTATTCTTAGGATGGAAAAGGCTATATGTGTAGAGGTTCAGTGGAGCTTTTTCTTTTTTTTTTTTGGTTAAGGTCAAAATTCAACTTCCACCATTCTGGTAACTCATTCCCCTGACAATTCGTGTATGGACTAATATTAACTTCTACAGCATTACTGTTCTACTTACCAATCACACAGTTACTAATTCGTGCCAAACACTCACACATCGCGGCAAAGCAGTTATATCAGGGCACATGCAAACTTTCTAAGGAGACTGCCCAAGCAGCCACTGTGAGATGTTCTGGGAGGGGTAAGAGTGTGCTCCCCTCACCTTAAGTAAGAGAGAGGCCCAGAGGTCCTGTGTGTCTCTCGTAGTTTACTGGGTAGAGATGGGATAGAGTAGAATTTGTGTGTGACCTTTTTGAGAAGTCTAAAAGACAAGGCACAGGCTGCCTAGCCCCTCTGTGCCTATTCAGGGTGCCAGGCACAAACAGTGAGGCTGGGAATAGAATCAGTATGCTAAATGACCCTGGTCCCTACTTTCCCTTCATATTCTCCAGGTCTAGGGTAGGAAACTATAGGGAGGTTTGGAAGTGAGGATGGAGTTAGAAGAAACATAATGTAAGGAACAAGAACCGGAAACTTAAAGTAAGCTCTAAATTTGAACAATTAGCCAGGACTGGACACTGGTTTCTGAACTGTATACTGCATGTTGGAACCTAAAGCAACTAGAGGGCTTTTACTTATAAAACAGTGACCAAAGAAGGTCATGTGACTCCCTCAGTTTTCTTTCCGGGCTCAGGGAATGACTAACCCTTTAGGCAAAGTTAAAGATACATTAATGAAATTGATTTAGAAGTGTGTATGCCATGCATCGTGCTCCTTCAATGTAATAGTTAACAATTTTCAGTTTTATTCCCCATAACAAATGATGTGAGCAACGCCTCCCAATAACAAAAAGTATTAATAATTTCACCTCACAAAATTATTGTTAATATTCTACTGTATATTATTTTAATCCTATTTTCCTCAACAATAGCATGTTTAGTGTATCATATCATATGTTTTCTTACACTGATAAATATACATTTAGCCAAGTTGTCACACAGCTTTACTCCTTAATAAAAGTTTGTTAGTGATTAGAAGTTTCAATAATAAGAGAGGGATGGCAACATAGTTCAGTGGTAGAGCATTTGCTTAACACATGCAAGGCCCTGGGCTCAACTGCCAGTACTGCAAACAAACTTAAAATCACAACAACAACAGCAACAAAAATGAACAAAAACTGGGCCAGGGATTTGGCTCAGTGGTTCTGTCGCCTACTGTGCAAGCACAAGTACCTGAGTTCAATCCCTGGTGCCAATAAATAAATAAATAAATAAATACAAACAAAAACTAAAAAGGAAAGCATTGCTTTGTGGAAAAAAGAACCCCCTGGGTTGTATAAATTACTTTATTTGATTAAAGAAAAAAAAGAATACTTAACCAAGAACTCACCAAATACCAATGTCACTTGGAGTAACCAATTACAATGACCAAATTTCCCTGATTGATTGGCACCATTTAGACAGTATTGGTTTTCTAGAGAAGTGAAGCTGGGAGGATCTCAAATGTTTTGTCTTTGCCTTCTTTACCCAAAAAGGAATAGAGTATGTTCAAGAATTTATGGTGCTGGGAATAAGTCCAAAACCTAAAAATAAAACAGCTTATAGAGCTCTCTTTGAAAATTCCACAGTAAATTAGGTACTTACTGGACTATTAAGGATCATCAGGCACTGGTCAAAGTGGTGGTGCTCCATGATGGAATGGCAATAGAGTTGAGCAAGTGGGTGTTCACTTCTAAAAAATATTTTATTGAAGAAAGAAAAAGAAATCATTTTCCAAAAATATGCCAGCCAATCAATTCAGTCCTATTATTACTATTATTATTTTTTATTATTATTACTATTATTGTTTGACTAAACAAGAAGGTATTTCACAAAACTAATCAGACAAGTTTCTGTTCTGCTGAGAAAAAAGGGAGGTAATCTCTGGAAAATAAACACAAAGAGTCAGATTATTTTCAACTATCAATGTAACTGCTGCCAGTTTAAAGTATGAACAATTTCATTGGTTTTAATGCTGAATAAGACAGTAGATGTAAAGAATAAGGACAAAGAAAAAAAAGAAGAAGGACAAAGCTAATTTTCTTAAACATGAAAAAAAAACCCCTCTATTGTATTATGTGTGTTAGGGTTTATATCTAGATGTCACCCCAATGCCTCATGAGCTCACAGGCAGGGCTTTTTGAAGCTGACTGGATCCTGGAGGACTGGTGTAGATCAATTTATACCTAGATGTGAGGATGGGACATGGAACCTGCTGGAGGAGGTGGGTCACTGGGGGTGTGCTCGGCACAGTCTACCTCCTTGACGCACTGCTCCCTTGACTCTCGCTGCCTCCTGTCTGCCATGACATGAGCAGCTCCCCACTGTTGTGCCCCTCCACCATGCTGTCCTGTTTGGGAGTTAGCCCATCGTGGACCGTAGATGTGAGCCAAAAGAAATATCTCCTCTAACTTTGCAGGTGTTGGGTATTGTGTCTCAGCAATGAGGAAAGTGACTAAGGCGATATGTAAATTGTATTGTACCAATAATATTTTTCAGTGGCAAATCACAATTGACTTAACACCTCAAACCAGTTCACATGATAGCTTTTCCTCTGAAGTAATGCTCATGATGCAGGTCAGCATATTCATGAATGTACAGAACAAATGAGTAAGATGGAATGAACTGGGGTAATGACAGGCAAGGGGGCCAGTGAGTGCACAGACCCCCTGGAAGGAGGAAGGAGCCCAGTGAGTCAGAAAGTCCTCCATGTAGGGACGGGGTCATTCCAGTGTGGGATATCCTGACAGCTCTCTAATCTGAACTCGGGGGATCTGCGGAGACCCTCTGGCTGAGTCAAGAGAGGGGGGAAGGATATTATTCTTAGTTTACTACAGTGGGATGTCACAAATCAAGTGCTAACGCATGACAGACACACTGCTCCATGTCACAGTACTCGTGACCTTCCACATATGTATATAAAAGTTTTCAACATTGTTCAAAAGAAAGTTTCTGAAGATCTCTGTTTCTCAAATTTACAGGAAAGAGTGTGTATGAACTGCGAAGCACCCACCAAAGTATTCCATGATTATTGGAGTGATTGTTTTACTCTGCATTTGTTTTACAAATGAGAAGCTGTTGTTGAGGATAGAGAAGCTACCCAAGGTGGAAGCAATGTAATGTAGGAAAAAATGGGCAAAATGAGAGAAGCTTAGGGAAAGCAAAAACAGTGAAATAAAAATACAGGTGAGAGAATGAGAAATCTCACCTATTCCCCTGGTTAAACTATCACCTCTCTTGCAGACTTATTGCCCTGATTAACTCGTGCCTGCTTGTCTTTTTTCCCCTTCCATATTGAATGAGCTGTACTGTGGATCAGGCTCTGTGCTTATTGTTGGTGGACAGAAAGAACGTATGGAATAACAGAGCAGTTCTGAGAAAAGGAAGAACCTGTTGGAAATGAGACTGTGGATATATGGCTTACTGGGAGGTAATTATGAGACCATCACGATGCTTCTAGTATCCTCAACAAATGAGTCTGGATGAAGAGGAAAGTTTTCTGAGAACTGTTCAGGAGGTAGACTGGGTAGGCTTTGGCACTGGATCCAGATTGGGAGTGGGAATGAGGGAGATTAAGGAAAAAAGAATGGATGCTAAACTTCCTTAGGCAACCAGATAGATGAGGATCTCCCTGGCCCAGGAAAATGGAAGGTGATTACAGGTGGGGGATGAAGGAAGGGAAGCTGGCTAGTCAGGTCTTTTGGTTTTATGGTGCCCGAGAAATGCCTCACAGGATATAAATGCTGAACTTGGGACTGGGTTGAGGATACAGGTTTGTGATGCAGCAAAATGCGGGTGGTTATCTCAGGGATGGCATCAGACAAGATAAACAGGGAGCTGGCCTGCAATGACAGCAGTGGCCCAAAACAAACAGAATCAATGATGTTTCTTTTGAACACCACTTTTATTCTATATTCAGTATTTTGGCAACACTGTTTTTCTCATCACTCAGATTAGATGTGTTAAAGTTAACTTTAACATAGCAAATCACCACTTTCCCCATTCCTTTTACTTAAAATAAAAAGAAAATCTTTTTCTGGTATTCTCATTTATGTAAGAAATTCAAGGACACACAATTAGTTGAGTATCAACTTTATTCTGCCAAGTGTTAGCTGTTTACAAGTCTATCACCCTGCTGCCATGTAAATCATATCTCCTGAATTTGCTGACATTTATTTCCCCTCCTGATAAAAATTTCCACTTACTTAAAGTCTGTAACAGCGATGGCAAACCTTTTAAAACTCTCAATGGTACAAACAGTGACACCATACACTGTGATACAACTACTGCAGGCACTCTGTCAGGTAGTTAATTATATTTAATTTTTACAATCATCCTGTAGAGGACACGTCCATTGGCCACATCAGAATCCTCACTCCCAGCTTTTGCATCAGCCACTGATAAAGTGTCCAGTTTAATGCCCACTTTAAAAGGCTTCAGGCAGGTACCAATCAGAAGTCACCTTGCCCTGGCCCACTCTTGTACCTCTCAGGCCCTGAAGCTCACTAACCCACAGCTGGTGCCCATGGTGCTCTTTGTGCTCACACCTGTTCAACCTGGGAATGTGGTGGCATGGAGGTCACCTCTGACTAATGGGGCATAGGAGCTTATGGAGAAGCTGCCTTTGTCTTGCGGGTGAACATTTCTGGGTCTCATTTAATAAGAATCACCACAGGCACCTAGCAAGGTTGAGCACCAGTTGCCTGTATGGGTGGACAGCTGGTTGTCTCATGCGTCTACTGGATTTCCCTCCTGTTTCATTCCCAGTCCTGTTCTCTGGGTTATATTCACAAAAATGCTACATGCACAGCAACTGCAGTCTCAAGCTGTATCTTCAGATAACCTAGTCTGACATCACTCTAAAATGAGCATTTCTGTAGAGTTTAGTTGACTCCAGGTTCAGGGAGATTATCTAACCAGCTCAAGGTCGGTATGGCAGAACTGGGATTCAAATGTATCCTCTTCCCTGAACCACAGTGTCTTATGACACCACAGCACTTTGTGCACAGCATCCACTCACTGACCTAGTTAGGAGCCAGACCACAAAATGCAATTAGGTGACTGTTACACAAACGAGTTAGAACTTCAGATGCACAATACATTTTTAGGATGATGCAGAAAGGACTGTTTTACATTAGAGAAAATTCTTGGCTTGTGAGATAGGCAGATGCAAACTGTGTTTGTCTTTACTTGCATTCTAAAAATACAGATTTATGAATCAATAAAAGGGTGACAAATGCCTCAGATTTCCTGTTTACAAAAATATGCATGGAAACCAATGTACTCAACATCCTGTTGCTTTTCACTCTTTTAAACACAAGGCTGCATTGCCTCACTATTTGAAGTTGCACCAGAAAGACCTATTTAAATCACCACTGCTGCTGGATTTTGTTCCCACTGATGTCAATGAGTGTTAATGGACCAGCACACTCTCCATTTACCTCCATCCTACACAACATAGGTCCATCTCTAAGATTGGCATCAGTGGAACAGATTAGAAGATGCAGAAACAACACCAGACACACTCAGCCACCTCATCTTCGACAAAGGAGCCAAACACCCTCACTGGAAGAAAGATAACCTCTTTAATAAATGGTGCTGGAAAAATTGAGTTTCAACTTGCCAAAGATTAAAACTAGACCTATATCTCTCGCCATGCTCTAAACTAAAATCAAAATAGATTAAAGATCTAAATATTAAAATAGAATACCCACATAGAAGCCAGACCAATATTGTAGAAACAGAAAGCCTTTGAAATCAATTGAAAAAAAATAAAAGTCCTGTGAGAAAAATGATCATGCCATGCTAGTCTTTCCCTTTCTCCAACACTAACACTGTGATACTTCTCATTCACATTATTACCCTGTGCTCAGATCTCTACAATTGCACTGCAACCTACGTCAACCCCACTTAGTTCTTCACATCATTATTTCTCTCCAAATCTACTGTCTTCTTTGGCCATTTTGCCTTCCTTTTCCCATTCTCTGGAATCATAATGATGCCATAGCCATTCAAGCCAATAATTCATTTAACTTTTTGACCCTAAATTTCTTTGATCTCTTTACACTAATCATTGCCTTTTTTCACATCAACAACAGACATGGGCTCACTTTGTACCACACTACTGGGTGCCACTAGGCATAGTATCTTGGCTCTTCTTCCTTAATCCACAATAGCACAAGGCAAGATCTTGAAGTTCTATCTATCATTTCAAGCAACTCCTATGAAAACAGCTAAACTCTGAAGAGTATTTGCTAAGTATTCCAAGCATTTCACATTTGTATTCCTCTAGTCCTAACAAAAATCCTGAGATGAGGACTCTCATTATACAGAGAAGGAAACAGGGATAGAGTTTAAATGACTAGTGTGAGGTCACATGAGAGAAGGAATCAGACTTTGAACGGAGGCATCTGATGTAAATCAAATTTTATCCATCATAACCACCACAGACACTGCAAGGCTGTGAAGGACTAAAGAGTTCCAACTGTTACATGGTAAGGAGTATATTTAGGTATAGCGTCTATTGCTATTACTATGACATTCTGACTAAACTTGCACTTTTCCCCCTCCAGTGGTGAGGACTGAATCTAAGGCTTCATGCACGCTAGGCAAATGCTCTACCACTGAGCTTGATTCCTAGCCCTTGGTATTTTTTAAGAGCATCTCACGAACTAGCCCAGGCTGGCCACAACTTGCCATTCTTCTGACTCCAAGTAGCTGGGATTTCAGGCTTATGCCTGGCTCGAACTTTCACTTTATTCATATTCAGATCTCCAGTTTCTCGTGACCTCAGCAATTACCTCACTCCTCGGTAAGTTCCTACATAGTTTGAACTTTGCAACTTGTGACTGTAAGTCTCTCACGCTGCAGACCCTCAATTCCACTGTGCCACCCAGGGCCCCAGCTCCCTCCTGCTCCTTCATCAAGACCAGAGAAGACCAGGCATAGAACGAGTTCAACCAGACACCCACAGCTTGACTGTGGAAATATTATTTTTCTGGTTTTATGCCACTTCTAATCTTGAAAATAAATTTACTGGATGATTTAGCCTCTTCTGTCGGCCAACCCGTTTATTATCTGCCCTCTGCCAAACCACCTTTACCCATCATCCTTGCCCTCCTCCTTTCTCTCTCCCAACACACAGGCCTAACTTTCCTGCTCTTCTGCTTTCACCAACAGCACCACCACCGAGCCACATTCTTGGACTAGAAGTCATCATTTTTTTTCTCCTTTCATGCATATAATAAACTGTTCAATGTTAACAGATTTGTTTTTCTTCTTCCATCTCTTTGTTTCTCACCTGGATTGGTATCAAAGATTTCTAATTAAGCTCTGTGATTTTAATTTCTACCCCTTTACCCTGTAGTTTAATTTTCATCTTTCTTCCTAAACAATTTCTTTATTACATATAGCAGTGGGTCCTTGGTTTTTACTATACCAAATGTAAGATGCACTATTTCATTTTCTGGCCCTCCATCAACAGGGTCTTTAACTTCTATTTAACTTCCACCCTCTGACATTTCATCTTTAGTCAGTGTGAGCCACCTGCCACTAATTGGGCTAACCATCATCGCATTTAAGAATTAGTTTTCTTTACATATTAGTTTAAACATTTGATGAATCCTGGACACAGTACCTTTTATAGAAGATAGTACTTTATATGGGAATGTTGATGGTACTTTTATTCTCTCAAGAATCCCCTGGCTAAGAAAATCCTACAATAAGTTATCATTCATTTACCAGTAAGGAAAATTTTTAAAAATGTCTGGAAAAATTCTTGGTTTCTTCTACTCAAACCACAGGGATGTAAGAAGAAATAAAAGTCTCCAAAACCACTTTAATTTAAACAAAAAGTTATTATTACTTGGTTGAAGTCTGCTTTGTGGTGCAAGATTCTGCAATCTATGACCTTGTTCCCAGGACTTTTTTTCTTTTAAGAGAGAAGATGACGTTTCTCCAGATGTTTTTTTCTGGATAATTATTTTTAAATAAACAAAGGAAAAAATAGTTGAGTGTTGTTTTTCTTTCTTCTTCACTATACAGAGTAACACAGCATGTTGCACAATCTACACACTAACAGTCCATATACTACTACTAATAATGTGGGGTTCAGTTTCAAGCCAGGGAGGGTCATGGCCCATGCTCACTCTGATCTTTTAGGTCATGCTAATTATGAAACGCCACACTATGTGGCTTGACGATGCGATAAATCTTTGGATATGATTTTCCCTTCCATAATGGCTCTTAGTGCCTATGTGAGGCTCAGGATCGCAATCACATGACCAAGCACAGACAAAGGACATGTTACCCAGTCAGTTCTTCAAAACATTTAGGCTTTCAAGAGGAAACAACCAGACTGTGGTACTTAGACAAGAGCCATCTTTTCCCATCAAAGCTCAGCATAGGACATAGCTGTTACATTACTACAATTCCCTTTACATGAAGTTTTCTGTTTATTTAGATAAAGGCACTGTGATTAGAGGGCTTTCTGAAACGTCCTCAAGATAACAGACACCTGTGGTTTCCTTAAGAGATCTACCTACTAGTTGAATCATTTGCATATTTAAAAAGATGTTAGGTAGGAAGCCATTTAACCACTTTTTAAAGACTTAACCACATAGCTGTAAGACAATAAAAGTGTCACAGCGGCTCAAACTTTTGACGAAAACTGATTTTGCCTTATTATCTCAGTTATCATCACAGATACTACTTAAGCGTGGTCCTTTCAGTTTGAAACTCTTGTCCAAAGGGTTAGTGTCTTACTCTCAAACTCTACAAATGATGCTGACGCAACTACCTGCAGGATTGGTTGCTAGGTTGTAACAGTATACAATGGGCCTTCTGCTTGGTACTGATGTGTGCAGTCTCTTAATATTTATACCAACCCCCTTTGTTTTTTTTTGAGACAGAGCCTTGCTGTGTAGTTCAGACTAACCTTGAGCTCACTATGTTGTTCAGGCTGGCATTGAACTCAGCCTCCCAAGTGTTGGAATCACTTCAATTTACAGATCAGAAAATTAAGCTATAAAGAAGTTAGCACTCTTGCCCAAGACCACCCAAGAACTGGGTGGCAGAGCTGGGATTTGAATCCAAAACTGAATACAAAGCCCAAGTTCTCCGATACTATGTCCTAGCGTCTCTATTAGGATCCAAAACCTCTTTCCACCAAACTTTTACTCAGTGAGTGGGACCATGCTAAGCAATTCCCAAATACTATTTTTCTATCTCAGGGTGAAATTCTACTCCCTCTAAATAAGTCTTAATAATTTACTAAGAAGATTTTAAGTCTTTTAGGTATTTTTTAAACTTCAGGCCTTAAACATGATCAACTTAGTATTAAACTCACATTATTTTTTCCATTTCCATTAAATATAACCAGAGTAGTTATGGGAGCTTGATCAATTAAAATTTTGAACCATCAATTTCTTCCTCTGTGGCTTTAATTTTAAAAACACAGCCCTACAATTTAAAGGAAATATTTTCTTGTTCAAGTCGGTAAATCATCTTACCGCTGGATATATGAGTTGTTCACACCACGGTGATCCAAATCGTGGCTGAGCGTAGCAATCAGCAATGCAAGTATCTCCAGGTCTGTCAGTTTGTTCTGTATGGTCAGATGCATTGGAGGAAAAGAAAAATATACATTTTGGCAAGATTAAAACTAGACCCCTATCTTTCACCATGCACTAAACTAAAATTGAAGCAGATTAGAGATCTATATATTAAAACAGAAACAATAAACTTGCTGGAAGATAAGTTAGGTAGAACTCTTCAACACATTGGCATAGGAAAAAACTTTATGAACAAACCTTCAGTAGCATGGGAACTAGCACAAAAAATCAACAACTGGGATCTCATTTTATTAAAAAGCTTCTGCAGTGCAAGAGAAACCACCAACAGAGCTAAGAGACAACCTACAATGTTGGAAAAAAATTTCAAATGCTGTTCCTCAGACAAAGATCTACTATCT